CACATCTTTTAAAAAATAAACCAAGATTTTATCATTTTCTCAAGTCGAGATATATGCGAAATAAAAAATGTTGCAAAACTTTTGAAACACCCGGTATAGCGCACATATCTTGACAGAAAATAACACTTGACATTGTTTGTAGTATCGATTACTGGTTTTTTATTGAATATGGTTTTTTTTCGGAATATCGATATTTCGTGCTTCGCACCGCATTTTGTATTCGAGATTCTCTGGAGTACCATTGATATAAGGACTTCTTAGTCAAAAGAGAATGACTCTTCAACTTCGAATATTTTACTTGATAAATTAAATATAATTTCGTTAATTATATCTATTCAATTTCAACCTATATATTGGAGGTTTCATATAACTTACTAAGATAACAATTAAGGAAATTTTTTATGCTTTCGTATATACAAGGTTGTGATTATAGAGATGAAAAAGAATCAAAATTTCAACAATTTTTCAATTATTTTTTTAGAAAACATTTTTGATCATTTTGGAAAGTGGAGATATGGTTTGTCATGAAATGAAGAAACTGTTTCCAAAATATTTCCTTTTACATTAGTTTTGATTAAACATCTGATTATTTATGCCTGACTTCATCTGTTCTTATCTAAGATGTTCTTTGTTTTTCTGCTTTTAAAGTAATACCAATGTTAAGTAAGTTTGATTTTCACTCATTAATTAATGTAATTTTTTTCCTGCAAATTAAGCTAGTGTCGTGATATCTTTCTTTTCTTAATTAGTTGAATAATCGAATCATGCATAAAACAACAGGTATTAGGCAGGAAAAAGAGATCAAAACAGTGTCCATCGTTTAAAGTAGGGAGGTGTTCACATTAAGAGTACCAATACTATATTGTTCTCATCAATTAATAACCATTAAATCTTCTCTATCTAAACCACAGATGTCTAAGTCTTTCTTCAAATGAAAGATTCAATACTATCTGTTTTCACTCAATAATTTATGACATATGTTGATAATGAACAACCGATAAATATAAAATCATTAAATATGATATCTATACGAATATAAAGTGCGATTATAACTTAGCAATATTAATTTTTTCTCGCCTTATGGTATTTATAAATACTATTTTATAAAAAATTGATTCTTTTAAACGATGAGACATTTAGGAAAGCTTTTCATATCAAGTTAAAGTCTATATATTGTGTTAGTCAAATCAACAGTTTGAAACTATTCTTTACCATAAAAATAATATTTTTGACGTTCTATGGATACATAATGTTATGGCACGCATCATAATTCATAAGAGAAAGGCTAGCTTGTTGTATATGGTTCAAACTTTTCCTGTGTATATTAGAGCTCATAAATTTGATGTTATTTAGCGAGTTGACCTTCCAAACTATCAGATTTAGCCAAATACAAGAAAGGGTTAATGTGTATCATAATGATATTGAGAAAACTTCTGTCCTGTGCGTATGATCATCATTGAAAGTTTTCCAAATTATTGAATTTTATAGTCAAACATATTAGGAAACATTTTTTTTTTCGCATGCATGTAAAAGAACGTCTGAAAGATATGAATACTGATTTTTAAAATTTAAAAGTAAGAAAAGAAAAAAGATTCATGGTATTGCATGCTTGATGTCTCTGAAAAAAACATTAAGCATAACGTTGATTTCATGATATTGTTAGATTTCTACAAAAAATGTAATTACGACAAATACGAAAGATTAACAAAAACATATATTAACAACGAATGAGCCAACGAAACAAAAATACACACAAAGAAATTTTTATTAGTGCTACCATTGGTTTTTCATCTTGCGTTCGTATCTGTACAAGGAGTGAAAATGTGCAGATAGAATGTGTAAGCAAACAGCTGCTGAAGACAAGTGAAATTGCATATTCCTTTCTTTCGATGTAATTACATCTTATATCAAGGACTTTTTGTGACTATCTGTCTGTATTCTTTTATCACATCGACGAATTCGAATTAATAAGAATGCATGAAAATCAATCCAATGCTATTATTCATTACATTACATTCATTTCGTTTGTCTTTATGTTTATTAATTTACAATCATCTCATGTCGCTAGAATCTATACACGAAGTATGATTAGCATCATATTAAAAAGATCATTAAAATCAAACGATTGTTCAAGAATTTCTTATTCTCATAAATATTCACGTTGTGGACGGATACCCACACTGTAAGAAAACATCTGAGGAATATAAATGAAAATGACTGTTTCAAAAACCTCTGTTTCGGAAAAAAATACGAAACAATATGAAATATTTTCTATCATTGATAAATTTGAATTCTGGCATTCGATTTAGTCAAAACACTAAAATAAAATTTATCGTACTCTAGATGTGTCATAGTCTATTGACAATTCGTATTTTTTTCTAGATTATTTTTTGTTTAAAATTTAGTTGAGAACATATTGACAGATCGATCCATAACCGAGATTAGACTACTTTGACACGGCTGGATTTTACCAAAAAAATAGTAATTCAATTTCTAAGAAAAAAAAAATATTTTACGTGTGAAAATGTAGATTTGAACCACGTGGTCAGAATGTTTTGTAAGTTCACCGAAATAAATGTATCGAAACAAGCACCTCGTATTACAAAATACAACATATCTTTTATTAGTGTGAATGTATACTGTTTGTGATTATATTGTAGCTATTTTAAGCATTTCGAAAAAAGAAAAATATGTTCTCACATCTTTGTTGTAGATTTCTTAGGATTATTTTGTTGATAATCATGAGAGTTCATTAATAGTATGCGACATGAACCATATCCTTAATGTAAAGAAAGACAAGAAATAATTGTTTCTCATATGTTTATATACCATTCAGCAGAGAACTAAAACAGTGTAATATTTCATATAGATCGGCTGAATATATGAGCAAATAAATGCAGTATTTTTCAATGAAAATACTCTTTCTGAGAACATCAAACATAGCTAAATCTCGTTTAGATCAATCATGTGGTATACAATACAAAATGCATTAGAAGGTGTTATTTTATTAGTCAAAGTTTTCTGACATTGACAATAACAAAATATGTAACATAAAATTGAATTTCATGAGAAACTACAGACGAATTTGTTGATAACGAGCCTCTTCTTTTTTGTAAACTTTGTCGTTTTTCAAACTTTAAGTTTAATTAAAATGAAGACAGAATACAAAATTTAGATATTCGTCTATTCGATTAGTTGATTTTGTTCATTTCAATTGCAAGGACAGATAATTAAACGATAAATCGATGATTGACATTCTTAGCTTTGCACCGCATTTTATATTCGAGAGAAACTCGAATACTATCTAATTTAATATATGCTTCCTGTATACAATAACATGGATTGAA